TAGAAATATCTTGGAACCGGGGGGTCATAAAACGTGGGTTTGTGTCCTGGCATAACCACTTGCCCAGTGGTTTCAGTCTAATCATACCAACTTTAAACTTCACCTATTTACTGAAGATGTGACATCATTCCACTGTTCCCTGTGTACACCACCTCAGAGCACTGCTACACGGATAAAAGGGTAGAGGGGATAACTGCATGTGAGCATGCTTTGGTGAACATCATAGATCTAATAATTATATTTATCTTCAAGAAGTTTGGAACTAATGGGAAATAGAGAACTGGCACAGAAGTTCGAAGAATGATAAGATTTTCTAGGCTGGTGTTATGGGCTGAATTGTATTCCCCCTCCCCAAATTCGTGTTGGAAGTCTTAGCCTCCCATACTTCAGAATGTGACCTTATTTGGAAAGAGAATCATTGCAGATATAATTAGTTAAGATGAGGTCATACTGGAGTAGAGTGAGCCCCTACTCCAATATGACTGTTCTCCTTATGAAAGGAGGACTTTGTGCACAGATAGACATGCATAAAAGGAAGAGAAATGAAGAAATATATGGGGAAGATGACATCTACAAGCCAAGGAGAAAGCCTGTAACAGATCCTCCTCTCACAGCCCCCTCAAAGGAACCAAACCTGCGGACACCTTGATTTCTGACTTCTGGCCTCCAGAACTGTGAGACATACACATGCTGTTTAAACTCCCCCGTTTGTGGCACTTTGTTATGGCAGCCTGAACAGACACACACAGGTAGGAAAGCTTAGGCCAGTCTACAGGCTGAGGAAAGTAACCAGTGAATTAGAAAAGAGTATCATTGGATTTCATTTTATTTTCCTCATCTTTTTCATACAGTGCCTGGACATAGGGGGTGGTAACTAAATAATATTGCCGGACTGCAATATGTCACATCTAGAGCAGTTCCACATCAATTAAAGGTGTTTAGCTACTTAAGGGGTTTAACTACTGTGCTATAATACAAAAGTAAAAATGGCATTAATTTAAGAATAACAATGCAGGAGGAGGGGGTCACAAACATGAAAAAAGACAACTTTAAAATTTTCACACCTATCAGTATATTTTATGGAAAATGAAAAATATCAATATTCAAGAAGTGTCTTAGAGATAAAATCAGTTCCTTTGCCTGACTATTCCTGTTGCATGTTGCATCCCCTGATGCCTCAGCTATGGGCATCTGTCCTTCCCTTATTTTTCATTTTGACATAAAAAGTAATCAATATACAATCGACCCTTGAACAACATGGGTTTAAACTGCACGAGTCTGCTCATACTCAGATTTTTTTTTCAATAAATACTGCAGAACTACATGACCTGTAGCTGGCTGAACCAACAGATGTGAAACTGCAGATACGTGGAGGTGGACTGTGGACCTGAGTGCTGGTAGATTTCGGTATCTGCCACTGGTCCTGGGACCGATGCCCTGCAGATACCCAGGGACAACGGTACTCCTCTATACCTGTCATTCCACCATCATTATTTTAAAAAGGTGATTACCTCTAGCAGAAGGACAGAGCCTGTTATAGGAGCTAATGATTGCTGGTTCCCTCAAATTACCGTTCCATCTTCTCCCATGAGGACACTCGCTTTACTGATTATAGACCCATCTCAGCACTTCTGACTGTCGTCAGTAATGAAAAGTGGCTGCAGCAGTTATGTATGGTAATTCGATGCTAAGGAGTCTATTGAATGATGCATCTGTTTTCCATCAAGGCACCTAGCACAGCACTGTAGGAAGTTAGAGCTTGTTATTCCCTCATACATCAAAGTCTGCTTGCCAGTGTTACATTTATTGACCTGTCCAGCTCCTTTTCCATGATTGATTACTTTTGCCACCCAAAGGTTTTCCCTATTGCCCTGTCACAGCAAAGTTCTCAACAGTGCTTTGAAAATGAAAAGCCCCCTTTACTCTTTCCCTGGGAAAGTTCTTAATTTTACAGGAACCAAGGGGCACTAGTGCTGTGGCAGACGTTGTTTTGCTGCCCACCATGTGCTCTTCCCTCCTTCATTACCAAAGGAAACCTCTGTCTTGTTTAGGGTGCAAGGGACCCATATTCATATTTAATTTTCCAGGCTCTTTATATATTACTAGTAGTTCTGTGATCTAATTCTGACCAAAATAATATAAGAAGTGCTCCAGTTGCTGGAGCTTACAGAAAATAATTGTTTTCCTCAAAAAAAAGGGGCAAATCACTCAACATTCATCTTCGGCTTTCACTGGCCTTCTTTTCTTCTCTTCTCTTTTTGTTTTTTTTTCCTTAACATGTTATACTGTAGTGGAACAACAATTTTGTGAACATGAAAATGGAACTATTTGGTAAATTGCTGATGCCTAGGTCCCCCTGGCATTTCTTAGAGCCAAACTACTAGCTCTGAACCTGTGACTGCCGGACTTCTTAACTGCGATAAATTGTTCCCTGTTATATTTAAGTCACTTGCATTTATTTGAGTTTTCTGCTATAGGCAGATAAATGCAATGCTAAAGGAGTTCACAGATCTAGACTGTAGTTGCAACCATTCCAGAAGAGCTGGGCTTTGTGATGATAATAAGGCAATGGCCTTTTCCTGCCAATCATTTTCAAGATTCAAATACTCTAAAAGTTATAACTTGGGCACTCTGGATTACTCAGAATTGTGTATGGAGAGAAACAGGTCTGTTCTCTCCTTTACTTCTGCAATTAAATGTCACAAAAATCTGACATTTTAATATAGATGGCATAAATATCATCAGGCATACCCACCTTCAACATGATACAAACATGGTATGTTGTGGTTTTTCCCTCCAGGCCCCAGGTCACTCTCTGGCTAATAATTTAATCTTCAGAGAGGTCCATACTGGTGAATTCCAGAGTATGAGAGAGGGAAGAAAGGAGAAACAGGCAATAGACTGTCCACTTCCCCAGTTTCGAGAATTCAAATGAATAAATCTTAGAAACACAGCTGGTACATTTATATAAGCATTAATGTATTTATGTACTATTTATGTACAGACAACTCCTCTCTATGTCATATTGCTTTATTTTCTGCTCTAACTAGCTCACATATGTTCAGTGGCACAAACTCAGGGAAATAAGACATTGGGCCTTTGCTGATAAAAATACACATATCTTGACTTCTCCAGTCATAAATATCCCCAAAGGATATTTTATGATTCTGATTTTTTAAAAAGGTGTATTAGAAGGAGAAGAGCTTTCTTGACTCCATTCTTTTTTTTTTTTTAATGGAGGTACTGAGGACTGAACCCAGGACCTCGTGCATGCTAAGCATGCGCTCTACCACTGAGCTACATCTCTCTGCCCCTTGACTCCGTTGTTAATTGAGAAAAACATAATCTGTTTATTTTGTAACCATGAGTGGAAGCTGTGTAGTTAGTTCTTCAGAAAAGAAACTAGTGATAAATAAATTTCCTTAGTTTAGAGACACCAGCCTAAATTCTACCTTAGGTTATTTAAACTGTAAGTATTTCATTTCAGCATTAGAATTTTTAAAAAAAAAGGAAATTTCAGAAGGACTGCTTTAGTTCTTGGACTTCTAAGTATATATAATAAATTAGCAAGGAAAGATAATTATATACATTCCATTTTATACTGTTCCTATATCTCCTCTAGTTTCCCAACCCCAAACATGATATCCATCTATACAATATATTATATAACTACTACATATATAAATACATATTTTATTTTTGGCCAAAGCATCTGACTTAGCTGAGTCCCGATTAGAGAGGTGGGGCAGAATGCCCCAGACACAATGTAAGAGCACTGAGAAGTTGTACAGCAGTGGCATGGATCCAGGGAGGCTTAAAAAATTAGGACTATTTTGTGTGTGTGTGATCAATCTATCCATCTTCTCTCACCTCCCCCTCTTCCCAACACTATCAAGATTTTCGATACTTTTATTCTTTTCTGTAACCATGATTTTATTTCTTGCTTCACTGGAGTTATTTTAAAAAAACCCAGCATTATTGTGGTATAATTGGGATATAAAAACTGCGTGTATTTAATGTGTACAGTTCAATGAATTTAGACCTATGCCAACACTTAAGATACTATCATTACAATACTGTCTAACGTCCCAGAGTTTCCTTGGATCCTTTTTTTTTTTTTTTAATAAAAACACTTAACATTAACCCCATTAACAAAATTGCAAGTACACAATACCGTGAAGTTTGTGCTCTTAACACTTTTGTCAAGAAGGGAGCATGGAAATTGTATTCCCTCTGGGAATAAATTTCATAGGGTACACATTTTCCCTTGAAGAATTAATAAGGTATTGATCATTGTTTCCTAGCATTCAGAGTTGCTATGGAAAAAAGACATACTTTACATTTTTAAACTGAACTACTCATAGATATTTTAGGTTGTGATGAAAACTTCAGGTTAGAATCCAAGCTGTTTCTACCTATAGAGTTGGAAGAAAGTCTGGTATAAACTCATTGGCTTTAGCTCTTCCTATTATAAAAACCAGAATGTATAGTTGTTAGATAGCTAAATATAGGGAAAATCGGGGGATACTCATCTCCTTTCTCCCTAGTACCTATATATCTTGGATAAAATTCATGTGTCATCATTTTAATCATAATTTTTATAGGGCATATTTACTACTAAAGACTTACCCTCACATTCTTCAACTCATGTTTTTCCTAAACTGAATTTTCCTGTATTTAGATACTATTTAACTTATCACTTGAAAGAGAAATGAAACTGTCTCCAACACATTAGAAAACTGAAACCAAAATACTGTTTCACCTCCAGCATCCTTTTCTGCTCTTCCCAATTCCCTGTTTAAATGAAAGCTGCCATAGAAATTGCTCTCAGAAATGTCTCTTCTTCCATCTGCACTGTCACAGTAAATTTGTTCTCTTTTGAAATCTGAAGGTTTCTAGCATCCTGGGAAGTAAGAGGTAATAGTTGTTCCTTATTTTCAATCCCAATAGTTGCTGATGTATCCGCTGTCTCATCTTATGGTTATTCTTTCCTTTCACAGCCTATTAACTTGCAGTTCCAGGCCCAGCGATCTGTAACTAACTGCAGAGGCCACCACATGTGCAGGGTTTAAGTGTCACCTCCTAAGTTCCATGTGTCCTTCAAAATCTGTAAGTAGAATTTCCTCTTTCAATTTAATTTGGTTTTATCTGATCACCTTGCAGGAGGAGGAACTGACTGAGATTCATCTTGCATTTTTAATTATTAATTTTTTATTCCCCGTCCACATGCTTTTCTTTGTATGTCTATTGACTAGTTTTTAAGGAGAAAGTGTGTCTTTTCTCTTTGATGCTTCCCTGGCTATCAGGATTGGAAACCATTTGCTTTCCCTGGTTTCTGCAAGAGAGTTAAGTCAAAATCTGAAAGTTTTACATTGGCAAAGTGCACACAAAAGCTATCATCTAATAGTCCTATAATCCTCTAAAGGAGCTAAAAGCACAGTGTTAGTTAAAGCTGAGCTGGGTCTTGCATTCAGTCAGGATTTTAGAAATATAATACATTTTATCAGCCTTAACAATGAAAAAAACCTTCACTATAACTGCAGGATATATCTGCTTGAAGCAATTACCAATCTAGGTTCAGAGTTTGCTGAAATTTTCCCAACTCTGTGTCTAAAACCTGGTTGTTCCTATTGTATATGAAGTTAGCTTATCCTACTGAAAAATAGAATACTTAAGGTATCAAGGGAAGAATAATTCATTATTTTTTAGTAAAAAGCAAATGTATGAGAAAAACACTTACTTGGCATGAACATGTCTTATTTTTATGAGTCTAGAAAGCTAATCTCTTTTCCTTGCATGGGAGTTCCTTGCAATGTGGTTATTATTATTAAAGTCATCTCATGTCAGTTCCTACATTAAATCAGAGTTATATTATTATAATATAATCTCTGGCTACACTTTTCAAGAGTTCATCTTATGTGAGACTGACGCACTACCTACTGCGCTAAGGAGGCAGATAAGAGTTCGTCTTATAACTGCAAACCAAAATGGAAATGCTTTCAATTACATATGGCAAACATGCAGGAGATGTGTACTAGAGCAGAAATACTTGAAAAAAATGACAGAAATCCACTCATTCAGGGCAAACAGAGAAGAGACTTGGCAGGCATTGTGGCCTATGCCTGGATACCTCTGCCTGGAACTCCAATCACAGACCCTAAAATAATCACCTGTGCTTTGTGACACAGAGTCAGTATGATTACTTCCTTGAACCACTACCCAAGAAAAGGTAAGTACCTCACTCCTGTCATCTCAGCTCAACACAGTACAGTGAAGCAAGAAATGTTCTCTGTGATTGCAACAACCAAAATGGTTACCTGAATAACAACAATAATATAGTAAGGTACTGTGTTGTGTTACTGCTTATTATTCCTAGCATTAGTGAAGGGGACAGGCAAGAATTCAGAGTCCTGCTTTCACTTTTTATAGGCCAAAGGCTTCTGCTTTATATATTTTTTCTCCATCCGTTACTCCCAAAACGAATGACCTTCGAGCGTCAACTGGCAATTTCAAACATGGAAGAGACGTGGGATCCAGGGAAAGATAATGTGGCTCTTAGATACACATATCTCAGCAGTGCATTTAATTTAGGAAAGAACCAGTCTCTATTCATAAATGCAGCTCTGAGATAATGGACTTCATTTTTTCCTCTATGTTACTCACTGGAAGTTGCAATATCTACTCAAACATAGCTTGGTTACAACAGGCTAGAAACCTGGAACTGGTGATAGAAGCTGATATCTTCTTGTGATTAGTAGCGCTGCCATTAATTCTATATCACTGAACATAAATAGCTTTCAGCACAATGACTCCCCTGTCTTTTAGGGAGAAATGACTCAAATTTGGTTATGCATCCTTAATGAGTTCCCAGACTACCCCAGCAAGAGGCTGAAATTAAGGGTATAATTCTCCTTGGGTACATACTTGCTTGGGAATATAAGAATCCAAGCAGATTAATGAATAACTAAGAATTCTTTGGTGACAATCCTGACATCTCGACCTTAGTTCAGGCTTCTTATTCAACAGCTAAGAGGGGAGATTGCCTTTGAAATTCTCAGTGTCACTGATTTTTGTGAAACTAAAACAAAACCCAGCAAACTTCTCATTGTATTTGGAGAAAAATCCTCATTTCACAGATGAAAGAACTGCCATGTCATAGTTCTTTTAGAGAGATTTTATTTCCTGTTTGAAGTCTTTAGCCACAGAGGATTTTAGGCAGGCCTGTAACTTCTCTGGTCACTGTTTTCCACATACACTTCGATAAACCTAAGTTCTCACAGTTCAAGCCTGGATTTATGCACAGGTTGAAAAAGGCCATCGCTTACAAGCTGACCCTTGAGAGGTTCTGGAATGACATCCTAACCGAAAACTCTTTGGTCAATAGTTGCAGTCACTTGAGAGTTTGGCCATTTCTGAAGATATGAAACCAGATATAAAATAGACAACTCATTTAAAGATCATAATTATATTTGGGAAAGGAATTATAGTCCACGTCTCATTTGAAACAGAAAGCTCTTGAACCTATTCCCCCTGTGACATTTTCTGTAAGCTAGGAGTTTATCAATTTCCCCTGTAAAGCTAAGAGGATTTAAACACATAATGGCTTATTTGGCTCTTCCTGTTAATCCATTGTATTTAGTACCCCTGAGCAACAAGTGTATGAGTTCCAGGGACACACAGTGAATAAAACAGATAATGAGACAAATAATGGGGGAAAAAAACAAGCAATAAACAGATAACTAGATATCACATATTTAAATTTCACATAGAATTTCAGATAGAGATAAAGTATAAATAAAACGAGGCAATGGGAGGTACAGTGCATGCACGTGTGTGTGTGTCTGCGTGTGATCTGTCTCTTGGATAGAGTATAATTCAGCCAAAGGCCTGAATGTGGAAAGGAACCAGTCATGCAAGGATATGAGGGAGTTGTGTTCTAGGCAGAGGGAACAGCAGTGCAAACAATACAACAAAAACCACATTCACTTTGCTTTAAGGTTAAATTAAATATAACCTATTTCTATGACAGCAACATCTATATAAAATGAGCCCAGTAAAATTGCATAAAATTCTGAAAGATTAGTTTGATCTCTGTCTTGCTGGTATTGTCACAAAACTAAGCAGCCAAAGAGGGAAGAAACATGAGATCAGGAGCAATTTGCTTTGAACATCTCACACAGTAGATTTTAATAGGTTGATGGAAAAGTCGGGTTGCCCTTTTTTAGCAACCGTTCTTTCATTACTTCAGATTTTGCTCTATTCTTGGTATCTTTCCAAATCTGTCACTTCCCGTCTTTAAAAATGAAAACCCTGGAGGGTTCAACACCATTAATCTCTCGAATTTATTAAATAGATACAGCACTTCCCTTCAGTTGAAATAAAGCATTCATGTTAGTTTGGAGGAACTCTGTGACACTAACCATCACTGTGTAAATAACAGATCTACCACTCAAGGAAGCAGTCTTCCCCTATTGACATTTGCCTCTCATCAGCTTTTGATGAAAGACCAAAGGAAATGGAATTGTGTATACATAATTACATGGTACAGAGCAGTTAATGTATTCACTTTTATTCCCCAAGGTCTTCAAGGCCCAAATGTCTATTCTCTGAATTTATTGAAACTAAAATTTATACATTCCTGGAGTCAGAATGATTTGGGAACACAACAGGGATAAACTGGAAGTTCAGAATAACACTTACAGTTTCAAAATTAAACTCTCTGCTGAGAGAATACTCTTTGAAACATGCATATTGGTGTTTGGCCAAGATAAAATTCCCTATAGCATAAGTGGGTGCTTCTAAACTTGATTTCTGAATAGCTTTGAAAAGGTGGCTATCAACATGGGGACTATATTGTTCAAAAGCAATCTAACAACCACTTTAAAGAAACAATGTAAATGTACTAGGTAGATGGGGAGATTTAAGACTGCTGCATATGCTGTATGATAACTTGAAGGAAAACTGATGATTACATTGAGTATATCAAAGTAAAACTCTCATTCCCAGGGAAATATCACAGAGTAATTTCAGTAAAATTCAAAAGTGTTTAAAATAGTCAAGTAGAATGTGTTCTTTATTTTTCCCAAATCAGATAGAAATTTTAAAAAATTCCCTTTAACTATATTTCACTCCTCATAAATTCCAACTGTTTCAGTAAATTTCATGGAACCAGTTCCTAAAACACTTTCCTAAAGAGCTAAGTCTCAAGCCAGAGAGAGAAAAATGAGATACAAATAAAGGATAATTGAGGGGAAAGCCTAACAGGTTCTTTTCTTTTTTCCTATCTTTCCTTAATGCAGTGAAGTGGGAAGTGGAAGATGAAAGGTAAAATGCTTCCTTCTTAAAAGGGTCACATTAGTTTGTGGCTTCAGTGTACATTTAACTATAAATTCTTTCTAGCAAAACTTAATTGTGAAATGCAGATCATAATAGTGGGAACCACTATGAAATTGTGGATGGACTCAAATACATGCTATCAGTGTATTTATGTGAAGGGAGCAAAGTGCCTAGAGGAAATGTAGAACTAAAGCTGAGCTGCAGGACTGAGCACCAGGATAAAAAATGCACTTATCAGACTACCTGGAAGTGTATCAGATAAGGCTGGCTACACAGTGGGAGGATGTCTGCCCTGTCCTGGGGTGGGGGGGACGTTGAATGTTGGTAGAGAAATAAAGTTTTCATTTCAATGCCACTCAGTATTTGAACAGTGACTTCAGAGGAACTTCTTGCAAAGTTCAAAGGAGATAGGGTACTCTGTTAAATATATATAATTTAATATCCTTCTCTTATTTAACATTAAAAAGTGCCTTATAGATACATGTACCCCATCATAGTAGCTCTATATACAATAGCCAAGACATGGAAGCAACCCAAATGTCCATCAACATATGACTGGATAAAGAAGTTGTGGTATATTTATACAATGGAATACCACTTGGCCATAAAAAGGAATAAAATAATGCCATTTATAGCAATATGGATGGACTTGGAGATCATCATTCTAAGTGAAGTAAGCCAGAAAGAGAGAAAAATATCATATGATATCACTCATGTGCAATCTAAAAAAAAGAAGAAGAAGAAGAAAAAAGAAGACACTAATGAACTCATCT